CAATTATACGAATTATCATGTCTTTAGAAAGTTTGAAATTTAAAAGTATTAACATAAAAGAGTGGTTGAAAGAGGATTCCAGGGTTCAGTAGCGAAAATTCAGAACAAAGTCCCCAGCGAGGTCTCAACTATAAGACGCATGGAAGAGCAAATAAAAGCTTGTTTTTAGGCAATCAACACTTTGGTCATTGTTCAACGGTGACACTTGAATACGTGGCCATCATAATATTCACACCGTTCGTGGTGTTTCAGGTTTCACTATGGCCACGATGCAGCTATTTTGCTTAGTGTGACGCAAATAAAACGGAATTTTCGAAAAATTCAATAAAAAAATTTATATTTTTATTTACTAAATCACTTCCAAGAATATACTGATTACAGAACATTCATTCCCTTAAAATTATTCATAATGTGATAGCTTAAATCTACTGTGAAAAAATAGACAAACTCTCTTGAGAAATGAAAGATTGAATTGACCAAATAGATTCGACCCTAAAAACATTGACAAGGCGTCAGTGGATTCCCTGAACGGCTGTCGGTTTTTGCTACAAGTGTTTTACATGGTGTTGAATGATGTTGCAAGTAGATTTGGGGCCCCTAATCTAGCGAAACATCCCTCGAGATGTATCCTAAGAGCCCCAACTATTCCCTATATACACACACTCGATATGCTCCATTCGTCCCGTGAACGTAAATTCTCATTGCCATTTGTATTTCAATTTGTATTAAAGCATATAATTACATCAATAAATTTTTAAATTAGTCATTATTAATCGAGAAATAAATATTTCTAAAAATTTAATCATATAAATATGTTAATTCCAAGCTGGATCGTCATTACATTGTTGGAATATTTTAAGTTAAAATTGTTTGTATAAATTGATTAATAATACTTTTTCTATTAATTTATAATTACTTCATAAAAAATAGCTGTATGTTACACATTTACTACTATTGATGCAAATTAATTTTTAAATCAAATAGGTGGTATTTTTATGTTGATAATGTATCAAAGGGAATTAAATTATTATTGATCATTTTTAAAGTAATGAATAATTAGTTTTTTTTTAAAAACCTTTTTATTGAAATTACTAGAAATCCCTTTGAGTATTTTCATGATTTACTGAATCGTTAAAAATAATCAAACAATTTTTTTTTTTCATCAATTTCATTAAAAATAAAAATGAATACAATTTAAGTTTATAAATTTGAGATTAAAAATAATAAAATGATAGTTTTATAAAAAATTTGCAACTTTCTCCTTTTTTCATGAATTATTTTCAAGAAAGCTTAAGTAGTTAATCGCTTTTACATTACTTTATATTTATAAAAGCTTCAGATTACATAATATCGAAGGAAAAAATATCGTCAATAGTTAGTGTATGAGTCAAAACAAATTTTCAATTACCCGATACAAAGCTGTAATTCCCTGTACGAGAGATCCTCTCACGCGCGGGCGTGGTTACATCGAATTCGCGGCTGAAAAGATTTTCAAATTAAATTTTGAGATTAGTACCCGAGGCTTAATACGTACAAGTGGCGTCGCAAGACGTCCCAAGAGGGTGCTACGTTTTCTTTCTTCCTCATCTCATCCCTTGAGACCGGAGATACGTTCCAAATCACTATACTTAACCATATAATATCCATGATACTCTAAATATGTTTCATCGCAAAATACTTTAAATTTACATTCATTCAATTTCTAACAATTATTAATGACAAAAAACTCTTTTCAATACTTCTAATAAAAGTAAAAATAAATCAAATCAATTTGGTATTGAAAGATACACTGATGATGTATTAGTTATTTAATTGATACAGAGTAATCACAGAACAATCGATTAAATTAGTGAGGTATAGGAATATGTTGATTGTTGTCGTAATAAAAAGTATTGAAAGCAATGAAATCATTGATAAGTATTATCTAGAGAACTGATTAGAATATCAATTATCCAAGCAGTCAAGACTTGTGCCTCAGTATCTCAAACCAAGAACTTAAACCCTTAACAGCTACTAGAGCAAAGCTTGTTTTTCATCTCTCTTTTAAACATGGAAAACAAGCCAGGTTAGGCGAAGGAGTATTTCGAGAGCCACCATTGGCTATCCACGTTCCTTTATCGCTCGTTGCTTGGTAACCAACCTACTATTGCTAACACAAGCAAACCATCGCCGGGTGAACTGAAGCACAACCACCCCCTATTTCAATACTGACTTGCACAAGCATCCTCTCCCTTTGCACGTTTTGTCTTCGTCTATCTCGCCCTTTTATTCACTCACTAAATCACAAATCTTTTTTTCACATATTCGATTTAATGTTTATATCTTTTTTGTTACATTTACGCTTCACACTAGTCATCATTTATTTTATTTCAACTCCATAATTAGAACTTGATAACAGTTGTAATAAATTCACGATATTTTATTGATTTTTTTGTGATTTTATTACATGTTTGAAATAAAAGTGAATTCATTTTATTTCTCTATTTATATCTATATCAATAATTGATGTAAATCAAACCAATATTCTTTTTACTAGACAAAATTTTATTATTTTATATAGTACTACGGTTGGGTTGAATCGATTAATTTTTTGCGTCATAGACATATTTTGATTATGGGGAATAAATGCATTTATTCAAATGAGGGAAGTGGCTTATTAATATTAAAATTTTTACAGAACAATCCAGTGATAACTCAATTAAAATATGGAGTATTTCAATCGAATAAATTAATTTGCAAGTTTTATTTACAATTTGAAAAAACACTTCTGGTCTGTTAGTGATTATTATTGATTGATTGATATCTAATTCATTGTACTGTTCATCTATTAAATTAATCTACCTTTTTAATAATTTTTTACAACTAATTAAAATAAAATATTCGTTCATCTATTGGCTCCAAAAAACAATTAATTATGAAAAAAAGTTTTGGTCAAATAAAAAATCAAAGAATATAGATAAAATCATTCAAATGTCTACTATTTAATTAAAAATATTAATAAAAAAATTTGGTCTCAAGATAATGAATGAAATTTTTTTTTGTAATATTTGTTTGTTATTTTTATGGTTTATAAAAAATGGCTTGAAATATTTAATCAATATTTTACATTCACGTTATTCTAAAACAACATCTAATGATAGAAAGGCAAACTTCATGACAGGAAATTCGACAAAAAAACATTAGAATTAAATACACAGCAGTTTTAAAAACAATATTCATATCCTGAGTTGTGTCTATAGGTTCACCAGATGCTTCACGTCTGAGCAGAAACAGTCAAGAGACGACTTGTTCTTTTCTTCACTCTCTCAAACGGAAAATTATCTTTTCAAAAAGTTAACTTGTGTTTTTTTAACCCAAAAAAAAATTTAGGAAGGCAAATTATATCATCACTTAACAGTTACTTAAAATTTATCTCTGAGTCTAAATTAAATCTCGAAGAAAAATATTCTTAATGAACTGAAGTTGGAATATGATGCTACATTATTAAAAAGAAAAAGTATACATTCCAATAGTAATAAATTAACAAACAGAAATAATTGAATAATATTTGAAATTTTATTAACGATAATATTACCACATAATGATCTGAATGAAGCTTATCGTTTATTTCGGAGCTACCATAGAGGGTAATTTGATACTAAAATGCACATGGATTAGTACGCCCTAGCGTATAATTATCAATTATACTTGCTAACCTGGGAAATAATGAGCCTCTGCATAACGGCGAGATAGAGATTACAGTTTGTTTTCTCATTTACTAATTACTTATCACTTTGATAATCTAATTCTATGCATTAATATAATATGACCAAAAAATTAATTATCCTTAATTTATTATCTTTTCATTAAAGCTCAAATCATTTACATAATTGTTATTTGTATAATAATAATATATTGTAAAACATTTGAATTTATTCATATGAAAGTTTATTAATTAAACATCAATGAATAAAATAAACAAAATCTTCTAAATGGTAATTTTTATTTATAAACATTGATGATTCATTGAAATTGAATTTTAATTAACACTATTTTTTTAATTGATTGATAATCTAATTTAAGGTATAATGATATCAAATAAAAACTGAGTATAGTTGCTATTGATAATTTAAATTAAAATTAATCTTTATAAAAGCTTTGTTAATCAAGTTGCTGTCTAGACTACTTATTTAAAAAAAAAACATCTATCTTTTATCATGAAACGCATGCAGTTAGCTGATGAGGATTTTTTATTCATAATGTAATTAGTTGAACAAACAATCCATTTTTTCATATGATTGGTACAAGATTAGAGGAAGATTTTTGATGTAATAATTAAAAAACAATTAACATTTGAACTACTGCGTAGACTTGATTCCTTCATGTATTTGAACTGTAACAACTATGTGTAGAGACATTAGATATTAAACAAGTGATTATCACGATAATTTATTTGATTTGAAGAAATGTTCAGAGTTAGGAGAATGATATATTTAAACATTCAAATAACAAATAGAAATGTTTAAATAAGCTGTAGAATGAATAACAAATTTAACATAAAAAGAATGTTAAAATATATTTTATTTTTTGGAGTTTATATAAAAATTCGTGTCAATCAAAAGCATATAATTAATCAATATTTTAAAAAACAAAATATGTATGAAAAATTTTCTTCGTTGCACATAGTCTTTCATTTAAAATTTTTTTTCGCTCATAACGCGACAAATAAGGTCAGTACATAAAAATATGTTAGGTATGAAGTAAAAAATTTTAAGAAAAAAATAGACCTACTATATTTCATTGTTTTATTTGAATATAAAAGTTGCATTTGTTTCAATAAAGCTGCAAAATGTACTTTTAAATTAGATTACTGTTTAAACTGTCTCATTTAGATGAACAATTATTTCCATTATTGATAGCAAGTATCCTCTATTATTTATATTGTAGTTTTTTCGATGTATATTATAAAAATAACGTATAATTTAGTGAAAAATATAAATTCGAATGTGATCATTTTTTAGGAGGAGTCGGACACCATGTCGAGTCGGGGAAGGATTTTACGGTTGACGGTTTATCAGGTTTCAGTAAAAAGAAGAAGAAAAAACGTCGTCATAGGTGAGTTTCTGACGTTAACTGGTTCCTCATAAATTTAAGCTATAAACGATATAATTATCATGTATAAAATGTTTAATGAGGTGCCGAAAATCATGACGTGCTTAGAACTAAATAAGAATACCACCTGTAAAGCGTGAACTTTAAATAAGGAAATGACTTTGAATTTTACGAATGAACCCACTGTGGAACAATAGCGTAACAGACGTCAGTTGGCCGTCCTTTAACCAGTAATCATTCAAATTATTCAGATAATTGGACATCTCCTTGTCAAATTAGCGTCCCAGAAAAATCTTTCGTTGCCAAAGACCACGAATTGTTAAAATATATATTGGAAAAGAATATTGTTTGATTTTTTGCACATTAATTTACTGTAATTATTAATTATACGAATCGTGAGAGACTATTATTTTAATGAGATTTGGTTATTATGTTATTATTATTATTCAACAACTAAGGTAAAATATCTCAAGACAATTTTGGCTTTCATTTTTACAAAATACCGATAAATATACATTTTTTTAAATTTTAAAATTAAAATCTAAGTACATTTTCATTAACGGCAATTTAATCATATTTACAATTTAAACAATCGATTTTTAAATATTAAATCATTTGAATAATTTTTTTTTTCAATTTTAAAGGAATTTTTATAAATATAATATACAGCAATGAATGGAGAAATTTTGTTTTAATGAATCAGAGAAATTCCGCTAGTTGCCGTAATAACAACAAATTTGTTAAATCGATCAATCAAAATCTTTAATTTATTTCTTAATTAAAGTTGCTCTCTATACTGTATATATTTATATCAATTTATCACAATATATGTAATACTAATAATTCATTTTTAATTATAAAAATAACAGTAATCAATATAATTTATATTTTGTCAAAGTAAATTAATAATATACAGAATTTAGAGATGTTTTTAACAGTACTTTAATAAAAACATAAAATTTTTTATTAATCTAATTTAACGTAGTGTTTAATTATTTTATGAATGAAATACATAAATTAAATAAATGATAATTCATGGAAATGATTACTTTACTAACAAACAATAGGATTCAAAGTAAAATTTTTGAATTTCAACTTAAAACATTGTTAAATTCATTCTTTAAAATAGCTATTTAATGCAAAAATAATTTTTCTCTATTGTTGGAATGGAAAACATCAGCATTCGTCCATTGATATGATAGTATTTATACAAGCAATTTACGTAATAATATTATTCTTGAGGCTTAAGCCGATTAGTATTAAGGAAAAGCCTGTAATGGCGTATAACTAGGTTCACGTGGTTGTTGCTCTAGGACGATTTTCACGTCCCAGCAGCTGGAGGAGCTGGAGGCTGCTTTTAAAGAGGCTCACTATCCTGACGTTTATGCTAGGGAGATGCTCAGCCTAAGGACTGACCTACCAGAGGACAGAATACAAGTAAGTAGACAAAATAGATAAACAATTGTTATTTAGATTTTAAGCTAATTGAGGCTAAACAGAAAATATTAATAAGGTATTTATTTTCATTGCTAATTAAATGATGACTCAATCGATATGTACTATAATACTGATCACTTTTAAGATATATTATTTTATTTTAATAAACGTACTAATTAAGATAAGATGATGATAGGAAATATTCATTGATTTGAAGTTATAGGTATACCATTGTGTGTTTTGTTAATATATCTATAATTACAAAACCAATTCATATACTCTAAAAAAAAAATAACTATGACTTTTAAGGATTTTCATTTATTTTTTTTTTAAAAAGTATGTAAATAAGCGGAATACTTTCCTATTTTTTTTTTTTAAATTTGGTTCTTTAGGGTTTGAAAAAGGATCTCAAAATTTATTTAAAATTAATGTTGTACGTAGAGTATCTCTTAGTTTATATATCAATCATTTTGATTAATTTATTTATACATAAAAACAAATTTGAAGTGTAACTCATCCCGAAATTGAAGTGATTTTGATGAAGTTCTGTTATAATTCTAAAATTGACATGATAAAAAATAAAATTCCTACGTGTCTGTAGACTATACATGAAATATTTGTTTTCTAAAAAAAAATACTTTCAAAAATTTTCACTAAAATATTTATTTTACATAATTAGCAATAAAATGAAGTATATAAATAATATTATTTCTTAAATATAGTCTTAACAAAGGAATTTTAATTAATTATTATTTAAAATGTACATAATAATTAACTTTTATAATTTAATAATCCAAAAAAGTATTGGTGCTGATACAATAAAAATACATACACTAACGTAGACATATTGATAATGTAGTAATAGTAAAAGAGAAATAGAGAAAAAGGAAAAAAGAGCGAATAGAGTGGAGGTCATATTATAGAATTATATTCTTATTCTAATATAATTGAAACGTGAGGCAGTAGTAAAAGTACACATAGGTACAGGCAGAGGTTTTACAGGAGGGTAGTGTTGGCGACTGAAGCCAGAGGATAGAGAGGATGAAAAAGAGGGTATGTAGCAGGGTGAACGCGTGCAGGGGTGCGCGGTGAACGTACTGGCGCGTACACACTGACAAAGCGGCCATTGCAGGGTGGGTGCGGTTCCGCGAGCCAATCAGGACCTTGGTTTGCGAGCCACGGGGCCAATCAGAACTTGCCTTCACATCGTCTTTTGTTTCTAAGTCCCGCAAAGGGAACACATTATAACGAGAAAACGGGGGTGGAAGGGGTCGATCTCATATAATCGTTAACGGGTATATTTTTATAGGAGCACCGCCATCGTTTCCAACTACTCCCTAACTCCCTCGTGTACGCTATTTCTCATTTTTTATTACTTCTCTCTCGCTCACACCTTTGTCGCTTTGTCTACTTATACTTTTTAGCTCTCAGTTGCTCATTATTCTGTCTCTTTCTTTCATTCTCCCCTTTCACACTCCTCGGTGTCTTACTAACCACTCCTGCTCTGTTCCTGCCGATTTTTATGAAAATACCCCATTCGGAGTAAACCAGACACGTGTACAAAAGGGGCTGGACTGCGCTTTGAACTTAAATCTGATAAGGGCGGGTTACAAAATCAATCCAGAATTTGCTTAATGAAATTTTTACTAATCAGTGTTTCACATTGATTATACTGTATTTTATGAAATTATTAGGGAATAGTATGCTATCAATCATCTATCCAGAATAAAACTCCTATTTTATTATTAATAACGGGGTCAATTTAATATTTGTCTTTGTGATTGGATGAATTTTGATGTTATCGATACATGATTATTATTCATTTTTCCATCACTTTAATATTAATCTTTTATTCCTTCTAAATTACTATGATTGCGACAAAAATTTCCATTCTATTCATTGGTTCTTCAAAAACTACTAAACTTGAGGTTATAATTAATCAGAAAAAAAAATTATTTCACATTGATTTAATGTTCCTTTATTTTGGAGTAATTTTTACTCCAAAAAAATATAAATATTTATTAAAATGAATGTAAGAATAATTGTGATCAATTTCAATGAGTAAATTGATAACAAGCCCGTCAATCATTTATCGAAAATGCGATTCAAATTGCAAAACAGTACAAATACGCATATTAGTAGTCTGCTTCATTTAACACTCTCATGTTAAGTCGCATAATAGAGATTATATACATAAAATATAATTAAATATTATTCTATATATACTTCACTGAACTACATACATTAACTCTCATTATTGTATTGCCTTTCATGCGTAAAAAATATGATTAATCGAAACGTTCAAAATCATGTGTTATAATTAAACCACAACAGATTCATTTCAGCTTTAATTCAATTACAAAAATATATCTCAATTGAATAACTACTGTGTTATAATATACGAAAGTGTGTAGAAAAGCCAGAGACCCTGCTGCACGCGATATCCTGCTGTGAAGTTAATCGAAATGTCTACCACAGATTCGCAAAAATTCTAAAAAAAAGTCTCTCTTTTGCTTCTTATTATAAGATTAATTTTTTAATCGATGATGTTAGATACAATGTTTCTTAATTAAAACTTGATTTTTACTAACGAAAAGGAATAAATGATAAGATAAAGAGGAATGAAGATTTTTATTATCATTATTTCTCAAACGAAAACTTGAATAAATATCTAAAGATCAATTGTCATTGTGGGATCGGAATGGCCTTTATCTAGATATTACTGAGGGTAACAAAAATTATTCTCTACGCCACGTATTTTCGACAAGGATCGATACACCCGAGACAACCAGACAGCCCTCGTTCTTCTATTCTGACAAATTATACCACACGAATTATGTCACTCTATTGGATTATTATTTGATTAGTACTGCGTTAAAGCGAGATCTAGAATATCCTGCTGAGCTTTAGCCACATTCAAAAGAAAAATGATCTATTGACAAAGCAAAATTGTTTTTTTAAACCCTTCAAAAATTCCTTTTATATCTCTGACAATTAATTAAAGTTATTTACTATTGATTCAAATACTTCTGTTAGTTAGAACGTTTAACTGTCATGCCGTTAAATAATCTATACTTTTATGAATTTATTTACATTATTTCATTAAATGATTATATTTATCAATTTTACTATTAATATAATCAACCTTTTGCTAATCGATAATTTTGAAAATATCATAATTTGGAATAAATAAATATGAAAATGTTGAACTTTAGTAAAAAAAACAGTAATTGATGTGTGTGTGTTGAATTTTAGCGTAAGAAATTAGTTTTGTTTTATAATTTAGAAATCTATTTTTTGGTTTAACAAATACATTTTAAAGATACTTGAGATGTTTAAATGTAAAGAATTTGTATTAAAGAGCAATTTAAATAACAACAAAAGGGGGACTAACGCTTCAACCATGAGCTCAACTCACCCTTAAGATATGCTAATTCCTTAAATAAAAAATAATCTTTTTTAACGCCTATTTAGAGGTCAAATTTCAGACAATCCCTTCTTAGTAGCTCTATTTGCTTACTCAATACAAGCGATGTATGATAAATCCATGTCTAGGCCAAACCTTGTTTGGTGTTGACTGACGTGAACGATGACGAGTCGATCAGTCAGAATTCTTTTATTATTTACACAATATTCCTTTTTTAGTCTTTCTAGCTCAATTTTTAGAATGATAGTTTTTTTGTCAGAATTTAGCATATTTTCAGTTCTCAATAACATTATTGCATTGATGATTAATTACAAAAAATAGATTAGAGTAAATACACCAATGGATGGACGTTTAAGTTTAAAAAATTAACAGCAAATAAAAAATTAATTTTTATTATTTTAAAGATGTGTTGATTTTGTGAATGATATCCAATTATTGGTTTAGCTACCCTATATCAGTTAAAATAAATCAATAAAACTTATTTCAGTAATACTCTAAAAACTAAATTTGATAAAGAAGTTTTTTAGTGAAAAAATGATTATAGACTGCAAATGATTTTTCTCTACATAATAAAAGTGACAGGGATCTGATTTGATGTATTTGAATAAATTTTCTACTCATCATCGGTAAAGTATACAGTCTGTTAGGATAGTTTTCATTGAATAACATATTTCAGTAAGACAATCACTAATGAAACTTATACTTATTGTGAATAAAGGGCTATACTTACCACCAGTAGGTTAAATATTTATTTTATTATTTAGTGGAAAAATTCTATTAGTTTAATAATCAATTGGAAAAAGATTAAAAATATATTTACTTGGCTTTTTTTTAAATAGAAAATAAACTGATCAATCTAATTAATGAATTATTATTTTAATTAACCGTTAGATGATTTGGGTGGTAAAGCATTACGTAAATATTGACTCAAAATTTTTTCTACGCATTGATTTGTAAAGGATAGGCATAGAAGTGTCATTTTAATGCTCGTTGATGGACCCGTCGATGTGTCTACCTGGTGAGTAGTTATTTTAACGAGTGCTCAATGGCGCCACGCGTTTCGAACGTCTTCTATTCGTTTTCTGACAATGGTTCTCTGTGTATTGTGAGGATCAGGAAAAAGAATCCTCTTATGGGCCAAGTATTGTTGGATGTACTCGCCTGAGGTATACCAAGAGAGAACAGCAAAGCCTCAAGGAGCCTCGTAGATGACTTGCCACTTAGCTGTTCTGAAGCTATATTCCCCGAGTCAAAATTTTTCTTTTCTTTTATCCCCTTAGTCCTCCCTTTTTTACTACGATGGCTGATACATACACATCTGCTAAATCGAAATTCCTTACTAATGAGACAAGTAAACGGAGTTTTTAAAAATTGTTTAAGTGGATAAAAATAATAACCGGATTGAAAATTACTTTTAAAAAGGCTATTAATAGGTTGCTGTTCAATGATCGATATAATTATGATGATTTTGAAAAAAATTAAACAATAATAATAGCTTCGAAGTATTTTATTATTTTTCGAAGCTTCATTTACTTATTAAGTCGAGTATTTTTTATTTAAAAAACTAACTGTA